GAATGGAGGAGAAGGGATTGCTGTGTGGCCATCCCCCTGCGGGGTGATTTCTCTCTTTCTGTCTCTCTGTCTCTCTCTGTCTTTCTGGCTAGTGCCACATGCCTTATAGCAAAAACATCTCTCAAAAAAATAAATAAAAAAAATAAAAAGCAGCCAAATTCAAAGAAAGTAGAATAGTGGTTGTCAGGAATTGAAGGAGGAGGAGAAAATGAACAGCTGCTATTTAATGGGTATATTTTCAGTCTTGTAAGATTAAAAAGTTGAGAAGATGTGCCCTACAACGATGTAAATATATTTAATACCACTGAACCTTATATTCGAAAATGGTTAAAATGGTAAATTTTAAGTTGTGTTATTTGCCGGCATTAGAGAAATAAAAATAGAGGGCCCAGAAATAAATTCTCATGTATATGTCAAATGATTGCCAATAAGTATTCCAAGACCATTCCAAGGAGGAAAGAACAACCTCCAACAAATGGTAATAGGGTAGACATCCATATGAGAAAAGAATAAACTTGGGCCCATACTTTTTTTTTTAAGTTTGCTATAGGGTATGCATGCTCATGTGTGTATGAGAGAGAAATGTTCCCTGGGGATATGACCACACTGCAATCCCTTCTCCTCCATTCTCCTCTTGGGATCTTGGGCATGCACACGTACCTGCCCAGTATGATTTTCATGCCACCATGTCTGGGACTCTTAACTACACAGTTGGCCATGTGGGATCCAGCTCCCTTAATCTCCATGCCACCTACTCACCAGCTGGGCCCATACTTTACACCATATACAAATGGACCACAGATCTAAACTTAAAAGTTAAAACTATAAAATCGTAGGAGACAAGCCTTATGATATTAGATTTGGAATAATTACTTGGATATGATACAAAAAAATAGATAAATCAGACTTCATAAAAATTAAAACCTTTTTCTGCATCGAAGGACACTATTGGACAAGCTGGCACCATGGTGGTTAAGGTGGCTATATCGCACATTGCTGACCGTGCAGTTCAAGTCTTGGACCCAGCAGCTTGAAAAATAGGCTAGGTGCCAGAGTGTGTGTGTTCCCAGATTCCCAAAAGGAGGGAGAAATGGAGAAGGGACTGGCGCATGAACATCTGGCATGAGGGATGGAGAGGGAGGATATTCTTTCTCACTTTTCCTCTCTGTTGCTCTCTGGTGAGTGCAAGTAGCTTAACGTTAAAAAAATAAAATAAAATAGAGAAGAACCTATCAAGAAAGTAAAATGGAAACCCACAGAATAGGAAAAAATATGTAAGAACCCATATATCTGATAAGAATTTAATATCTACAAAATATTTAAAAATCCTACAACTCAACAACAAAAATACAAACAGCAAACACCAATTTATAAATGAGCCAAGGATTTGAACAGACATTTCTGTAAAGAAGGTATACAAATGGCAAATAAGCACATGAAAAGCTACTCAAAATCAGTAATCTTCAGGAAATGAAACAAAAACCACAGTATCACTTCACACTCATTAGGATGGCTGTTATCAACAAACAAAAGAGAAAGTAAGTATTGTTCAAGATGTGGAGAATTGGAACCTTTGTGCACTGCCGGTAGGAATGTAAAATTCCTACAGCCATTGTTCTTTTTTTCTTTTTAAATTTAGATTTATTTATTTATACATACATACATACATACCAGAGAGGGACAGAGTAAGAGAGTGAGAGAGCTCATGCAAGAGAGAGAAAAAAGTAAGAAAGCAAGCCACCAGATTTGAGACTCAGACCATGGTTGGCCATGTGGGAGTCCAGGGCCTCCAACCACCACCTGCCAGTCCCCCTACAGCCACTGTTGAAATTGTATGGTGGCTCTTCAAAAATGAATAACGACTAATTATTATATGATACAGCAATTCCACTTCTGGATATATACCCAACAGAACTGAAAGCAAGGACTTAAACAGATATTTGTACCTCAATGTCCACAGCAGCATCACTCACTATAGCCAAGAGGTGGAAGCAACTCTCATATCATAGACGGATGAATAGATAATTAAAATGTGGCATACACGTACAATGGTATATTGTTCAGCCTTAAAAAGAAAGGAAATACTGACACATGCTACACAACACAGATGAATCTTGAGGACATTATGCTAAGTGAAATAAAGCAGTCACAAAATGACAAATACTATATATCCAAAACTAACTGTCAATAACCCCCTCAATTTGGATACTTTATTGCCGTGCCATTACTGCTTAACATTGAAATGATGAACTACATGTAAGCACTCTTTCTCATTTAGCCCATCTAGTCTTACAAAGATATATGCTGCTTATAGCTATTAAACCGCAAAATTTCAGAGTGCATACACATACTTATCCCTTAAAATAACAGCAAGAAAATCTAGGGAGTATTTTTAATAGGAAGATTGATTTTGTACTCAAAATTAAAAATGCCTTTAGAAGCCAGCAAGTGGTGTAGTTGTTAAGGCGCTGGATTCTCATATTGCTAACAATGGTTCAAGTCCTAGACCCGGTGGCTTGAAACTCACACAGGGTACAAGTGCATGCATGCCCAAAATCCCAAGAGAAGAAGGAACTGTGGCATGGCCATCCCCATAGGGGGTGATTTCTCTCCATCTGTCTCTAGCAAGTGCATGTGCCCTATAGAAAAAATCTAGCCCCTCAAGAATGTTTTTTATTATCTTCAGTCTCTGAATAATGAACTTTCTGCCATGAGCGACAATAGCTGCACTAAGTAAATATGTATTTCATGTGACCAGCAGATAGCATAATGGTTACGCCGATGGACTCCCAGGTAGTTAAACACAGTTCAAGTCCCAGACCCGGTGGCTTAAAACTCACACCAGGAGTGTTGTGTGTGCACGCCCAAAGAGGAGAATGGAGGAGAAGGGACTGCCACCCCCCCAGGGGGTGATTTCTCACTTTCTGTCTGTCTCTCTGGTGAGCACACGTGCCCTATAGCAAAAATCTCTCTCTTAGAAAAAAAGAAAAAGATACTCAATTGTCTGAAGGAAAAAAAAGTATTTGGCAGAAAAATCTAGATAGTAAATATCTTTAATGTGAACACAGAGCTTATATTAAACTATATTAACCTCCTCTCTAAAAGAATTAATGATAGCCTCTTTGGGAAGTGACCCATTCACTAGTCTCCCAATCATTTTCAACTGGAAGCCCTATTAAAGGCAAACTAATCCTAAATATTTGAAAAACCAACAATTATTTTCAAGATAATTATTTCTATCACAACTAAAGTAAAAAGTAAATACATGCATTTTAACCCCAACGGTTTTCTAGTTCTGGTAGCTCTTACAAAGACGTAATATTTAAAAATTTGTGAAAGCTATCTTCTTTCATTTTCCATGAATACTGGTCATGAATAGGCCAGTCCTGTGATGCAGTGGCTAAATGCTATGCACTGGGAAATGAGTCCCTTGTGGCAATTACGGTCCTGCTTCTAGTGGCAGGAAAAACACTCTAGGCACATATGTGTGTGCGCCCAAAATCCTGGTGGGAAGGAGAAACGGAGGAAAAAGAACTGTGTAAGATCACATCTCATCAGAAGGTGCATGTATGTGAGTATGCGCACTCTCTCTGACAAGTGCATGCACCTCCCGACACTGCCCCCGATGAAAACTGTTATTTGCTGGAAAGTAGGGAACTAGGAAACTAGTTATACTATTGACTTAAAGTTAATGGTTGATCTAAAAACTATGAAAAATCTGTTCACCCCCCTAGAGAGGATGGCTATACCGCAATCCATTCTCCTCCATTCTCCTCTTGGGATTTCGGGCACACACGCACACATGCCTGGCCTGAGTTTCAAGCTGCTTGGTCCAGGACCCGAACCATGGTTGACTATGTGGGAATCCAGTGATGTAACCATTTTACCATCGCTGGTCCCCAAAATCTATTCTTAAGTAAATTTGTGTCCTCATCCTAGAAATATGAACGCTGATCCTGCTAATGCCTCCTGGTTGCAGTATGACGCATGGTTAATTGGAGGAGCTTAGGAAGAAGCTCACAGACCTGAGTCAGAATCTCAGTTCTGCTACAGTGTGCGCTTGGCCAATTACTTATGTCTTCAGGCCTTGGTTTCCTCCCCTGTTAAACGAGAATAACGGTACCTACCTCAAAAGGTTACAAAGGAGTACTGAAAGCCCTTGATGAGGAACTGGCACAGAGTGAAAGCTCAAAGCATGTCATTAGTGACAGCAGGCCGTGACTACCTCCTTTTCACCTCAAGTTGCCCGCACACATTCAAGCAATTTAACACCTCCGTCCTTAACTCAGACTTCAACTTGGGATGCCCTCACTATCACCTACCACAAAGCTCGAGAGCCCACCTAGCCGGCGTCCGACAAACTGACAAACGCCTACTTGTGACTCAAGGCCCACCTCCTCTGGGGTCCTCTCCCTCACATGGAGTTAAACTCCTCGACTTGTTCTATAGTTATTCCTGGGGCAGGCCTCGAGATCACTGAAGGAAGGGTCTCACGGAGGCTCACTTGCCTCCATGTTTCTCAGCACGGAGGACTATCCCTGAATGTGGGGTGCTGAATGCACAGTTAGGCCTCGCATTCCACAGCTATCATTCCACAGCATTCACAAAACACAAAGTATGTAGAAACCAAGAGCCTCGGAGGTCAAACTATACCCATAAGTTCAATAATGATCCGAATCTATTAGGTTGTCGGGATAGTCATGACCTATTTTTCTACGCAGAACTGAGTCATAGCTTTCCTGACAACCCAAAATTAGTTTTTGGATGAAGGTAAAATTTTGAGCCACCTTATCTTATGCGAGTAGGCCACCCTACTCATGCCAAGAAATGTCATGGATAACTGTTCTCGTCATTTGAATGTTTTCTCCATGGCAGCATCCTATTTGGGAGTTGGATCTCACGTTGTCTCCCTGGGGTCTGTCTTGAAACAACAGAGCACACTGATTGTTCTTTCCCTTCAAAAGCAAAGGTGCCAGCTAGTGTGCTAGCCCATCACTCACCTCAGCCACCTGCGGGGTCCCCACTCTGTGCTGAACCAGCCCCTCCATATTTGTGGCCATGGTGAAGCAAGATCATTAGAGAACCTGTTTGGAAAAATGCAGCAACTTCTATCAGGTGGGGAGAAACCAGGCTGATGGAAAAATAGAAGTCATCATCATTCATTTTTGGTACGATTCTGCATGGATTTTGCCTTCTACAGAAGACAGAGGAGAAGGCTAAGCATAATCTGCATATGCTGCACCGGCTTCTTTAATTACAGTACCAAAATTAACTAGGAGAAACATTTCAATGTGGAAACAAGACTTCCCCTGGTAAATAGAGACAAAGATGGATACAGAACTTTAATTATCAGGTTCCTGGGATGTAACAGTTTGGTTTACCGCTCAGGCAGATGGAAATCACACCTTTCTGGAGAGCTCCCTGTCACAATGTGCTGACTAGGACGGTGGCTACCTGAGAAAGGTGTGACATCAGCAGTGGATGGAGCACTAGATTGCTATCACCAACTAGACTTCTGTTACTAGTGGCAATGTGAGAAGCAAAACCCCGCTCAGGTGCTAACACGCCTCACTCACAGGCTGAGAGGCAAATATTATCACAAATAAATTAGTAAAGAGGCCGTATTACTAACGTGTGCAATAACAACATGGTACCCATGAACTTAGTAATTTACATTTTTAAGTCCTCATTAAAATACAAAACTAGATGATTCAGCTTTCTACTTGTAGAAGAGACAAATCTGATGCCATTGTGTAAAAATTTGGGAAGATCGTCAAAATACCAAAAGGTATCCAAGGGTCATAACCTTTTGAGTATAAACAATGAGGATGAGACAAACCCCCGGTCTCTTCTGGTCACAAGATAAACCCCCGAGTACTCCCTAAAACATTTCTATTAACTACCACAAAGAACTCAGGATGAAGGGAGTCCACTTTGGATGTAATTCTTGGACTATTCATTACTGACTTTACAAGCTCTTAGAGTTAATAGCAGAATAAAACTCTGGTGTATTTATTCCCATAATTTAAATACAAAAACTTTACAGTTATTATTGAGCATGGTGTACAGTATACACAAAGGCACAGGTTGCATTTGCTTGCCTTTCCTCTGCCACTGACTGGACTATTTTATTTATTTATTTAAATTTTACTAGAGAAGGACAGAGTGAAAGAGAGAGGAAAAAGTGAGAAAGCAAGCTGCCAGGTCCAGGACTCAAACCATGGTCGACCATGTGAGAATGCAGTGCCCTTAGCCACCACACCACCTGCCAGTCCCAGACTGGACTATTCTGCAAATGCAATTTTACAAAACACTTTCCTACAGTTTCTACTTGGAATATTATCAGCACTGGTCTCCATGTAGCTTTCTAATTCCCTGGTAACTTTCTACATCATTCTATCCACTGTTAGATAGGCACTTCTATTATAATTCTTTTTCAGATGATTTTATTACCAAGATAGTGAGAGGGAGAAATGGGATCATGAAACTGACAACATAAAATACCTAGCTCCTGCCGCCAAGGAATCAAAACCCTGTAAGAGTAAGTACTAAACCAACTGCTACGATGACACCAGGGCACCGTATCAATGATTCATTGTCACATATATGACTATGTATGAAACTATGAAGGTAGTGTTTTTCCTTGTTTATTTGTCTGTTTATTTATTTATTTTTAGGTTTTTGCTATAGGGTGGGTATGCTTACTGGAGAGCGACAGAAGAGAGAGAAAAGTGTGAAGTCACTTGATAGGGGGGATGGCCATGCCACAGTCCCTTCTCCTCCATTCTCCTCTCAGGATTTTGGGCAAGCACGCACATGCAGCCAGTGTGATTTTCAAGCCACTGGGTCTAGGACTCAAACTGTGGTCGGCCATGTGGGAATCCAGTGCCCTAACCACCATACCACTACTGACCCCTATTGTTTATTTTAAATAGTCAAAACTTTTAACCCTTATTTATGTCCAAAACAAAACAAAACAAAAATAGAAATACATTTGTCCCGTTTTCTTGCTACAGTCTGAGTCCAGCTAATAGAGATGAAGAGGATGTGCATAACTTCAAATGCATCCAGAAAAGTCTGTTGTTAAAGACACAGTGAAAAGTGTAGAGTTCTAATCTTCCTCAAAACAGAAAATAAGAGTTATCTTTCAAGTCTTTAGATTGTTGGGACCAGCAGCTATGTCACTGGACTCCCATATAGTCAACCGTGATTTCGAGTCCCGGACCCAGTGGCTTAAACTCACGCCAGGTGCATATGCGTGTGTGCCCAAATCCCAAGAGAATGGAGGAAAAGGGATTATGGCATGGCCATCCCCCCGGGGGGTGATTTCTCGCTTTCTATCTCTATGTCTCTCTCTCTTTCTGGTGAGCGCACATGTCCCATAGCAAAAAAACTCTTAAAAAAAAAAAAAAGAAGTCTTTAGATTATTAATCAAATGGACAGTCAATACGTATTACATATTAAAAACAAAAAATCCAAACTCACAGCTGCAAATAATCATTCTATCACTTTTAGATGTTATCAGCATTTCTGCTGCTGTTATTAACTACAGGCTGATGCAAAGACGTGTGTGCTGGGGCAAGCAAGTGGTGTGGTGGTTAAGGTGCTAGATTCCCCACACAACCAACTGCAGTTCGAGTCCCAGACCTAGCAGCTGGAAAATCACAACGGGTGCATGTGCATATGTACATGCCCACAATCCCAGGAGGAGACTAGAGAAGGGAGTACAGCATGGCCACCCTCCACTCTCATGGTGGTGGGGGGGGATTAGTTCTCACTTTCCCTCTCACTGTCTCTGTCACTCTCCAGGCAGCACACATACCCTATGGCAAAAAATCTGGAAAAACAAAAATTGAATAACACAGAAATCACAAAGTACTAGAAAGGCTTATCTCTCTATTGGGTTTCCTTAAAAGAGGTGGCTTGGGGACCAGCAGTTGGCATAATGGCTACGTCACTGGACTCCCAGGTAGTCGACGCAGTTCAAATCCCGGACCTGGTGGGTTAAACTCACGCCGGGCACACATGTGGGTCCCAAGATAATTCTAACAAAGGGTAACTATAGATATTAAATCACAAAAAAGAAGTAGTAAATCTGTTTACCTTAAAAAAGCTAAATATTCTTTAGAAAAGCTAAATCTTTGTTGATTATATAAAGTTATAAATATCTTCTCTCACTCTGCAGTTATCTGTTTTCTTTATTTTTAAAAGAGAACTCTTTTATTTATTATTACTATTTTTAAAATTTGACCAGAGAGAGAGAGAGAGAAAGGGAAAGAAAGCAAGCCTCCAGGTCTGGGACTCGAACCATAGTCAGCCATGTGGGAGTCCAGAACCTTAACCACCATGCCACCCGATGGCCCTTTTTATTCTTAAGAGAGATTTTTTGCTATAGGGCTCATGCACTAGCTGGAGACACAGCGAGAGACAGAGAGACAGAAAGTGAGAAATTACCCCGTAGAGGGAATGGCCATGCCGCAGTCCCTTCTCTTCCATTCTCCTCTCGGGATTTTGGGCATGTACATATATATGCCTGGCGTGAAGTTTAAGCCACTGGGTCTGGCACTCTAACTGTGGTAGACTATGTGGAGTCCAGCAACACAACCATTACACTGTTTGTTGGTCCCTCTGTTTTCTTTCTTTATGGTATCTCTTTTGATGAAATAAAGTTGTTTTTTTTTTTTTTGGAGTTTTGTTTTTTGTTGTTTTTTTTTTGCTATAGGGCGCGTGCGCTCGCCAGACAGACAGAGAGACATAGAGACAGAAAGTGAGAAATCACCCCCCAGGGGGGATGGTCACGCCGCAATCCCTTCTCCTCCATTCTCCTCTTGGGATCTTGAGCACGCACGCACACGCCCCGGCGTGAGTTTTAAGCCACCGCGAACCGCGGTTGACTACGTGGGAGTCCAGTGACATAGCCATTACGCTAACTGCTGGTTCCCATGAAATAAAGTTCTTAAATGTAAGAAAGCTGAATTTATCAGTATTTTATTTTATAGTCTATTACTTTGTTTTATTTATGAAAACCCTGTCATACCCCAAGGATATACTGGGTCATCGGAAAAGTCATGATGTATTTTTTCTATGCAAAAAAAGTCATAACTTTTCCAATGACTCAATATATAATTTTTTAAAGAATTATTTTATTCAACTTTATTTATTTGTTTATTTTTTAATTTGACCAGAGAGGGACAGAGTGAGAGAGAGAGAGGGGGAAAGTGAGAAAGCAAGCCACCAGGTCTGGGACTCTAACTGTGGTCAGTCATGTGGGAGTCCAGTGCTGCTTACTGCCATGTCACCTGCTGGCCCCCCAATATATAATTTTATATATTTTCTTATAAAAGCTTAAGAGTTTCGCCCTTCACATTTAAGTCCTCAGTCCATCTGCAAATTGATTCTTGAATTTGAGGAGGAGGATCTATTTTTTCCTATACAGATAATCAATTTTCCAGTACCATTTATGGAAAATCTATCCTTTCCCCACTGATCTGTAATGCCATCTCTGCAATATGTCAGCTTTCCCTGTATGTTTTATATAATTCCAGATTCCCTATTCTATCCCACTACCGTTCTATTTATTTTTCCCTCTGTCGCCACCATTATCTTATTACTGTGGATTTTTATTTGTAATAAGCCTTGCCCTCTGGTAGGACAAATGCCCCCCACCTTGTTTTCCCACACCGATTCCCTGGACCATCTTAAATGCCTTTATACACTTTTGTTTTTCTGTATCAAAAGTGGTTTCAGGCATCACCAACAGCAGCTTTGGAAGCAGCTTAAAAATGAACAAGGAAGGAAAAAAAGTGCAAGGAGGAATGTGCATCTTTGGGAAAAATACGCAGAGACAGAATGACAATAAGAACGAGGAGAAACGGAAAGAGAAATTATGTAAAGCAAGTACTCTCAATAAATATTTAAATCCAATCAGAACGGACAAGCGAATAGTAGTTTCGAAACATATTTTCCATTTCATTATTTTTGTAAATATGTTTAGTCAAAAAACAAATCCTATCCTTATACGTGACTTGTACAGAGACTTCTTCCAGGATATCACATAAGAAGGAAGTGAAACCAAATCCTCAAG